AGACTGGAATGGGAGTTTCACAATAGAAATGCGGTTGACCGTTGACAGCGCTGAGTTTCTCGTTGATTCACCACCATATTGGGTCGCCCAACACCAATAGCTGGATACCATCAATCTCTTATGTGATATTTTCGCCGACATCTCCTTACATAACGCTTCATCCCTTACCAAAGTACATACAGTTTGCTTAATACGATCAGCTGCCTAAACAATCAGTAAACTTTCCACCGAGTAACCCTTTTAGAACGTTTCCATGTCCGTATTTACCCTCCTACTTTCTTTTTAAACACCCAACGGTTGACAAATAGTGCGAGGAATCATTACATCCAATTTTTGACAGGATAATTTGAGGTACCAACATAAGTGGTATATTTAATATATAAAAAAATTCAATTGCTTGTGTGAATAGCACCCTCTTAGTCTTTCATTATGTCGAGTACGACAAGAAACCATCCAAAAAGGAAAGAAGAGGCAGAAGGGCAGAAAACGTCTACAGTAAACGAAATTCGACTTGTCGTTTACCACTAAATCTCTATATAGCGAGCTATTACCAGCCATGGATCACACTGAACTAATTTCTTGACACGGTGATTTAACCGTTCAGTGTTGATCGATTGGAAACATCGGGAATCATTGTGGAAGATATCGAAAATCTGATTTACTACGGTAATTTGTTTCCACACGGCACGACAGTATCTAGAAAGCCTGGTACGAAACCTGACTTACACTAAATTAAAGAAAGCGTGAAAAGGTTTGGTTACATTTTGACACCTGAAACTTCGGTTCCATTGACAAATTATTGGTAAATCCGCAAATAACCCATCTCCCACATAATATCAATCAGAATTTATTCTTGTGTTGATACTGTTGCAATGAAGAATTTTTTATTCCATTTCAGATAAAACATTACATTTAAAATATTACAGACATAAATATAGCTCACAGTTTTATGGTCCTAAAGAGGGCCGTTAAAATGGCCTGAAATTAGATCACGTCATATTAAGGTCACTGTGCTTCGAAGTTGATGCCCGTTCAGCTGGCACCTTGGGAAGAAGCGCCGAGTGGATATTGGGTAACACACCGCCTTGAGAGATCGTTACATCGGAAAGAAGCGCATTCAGTTCATCGTCGTTCCGTATAGCTAATTGCATGTGTCGGGGACTGATTCGGCTTCTCTTGTTGTCACGTGCTGCGTTTCCAGCCAGGTACAAAACTTCGGCAGACAAGTATTCAAGCACTGCGGCAAGATACACCGGAGCAATGGCACCAATCCGATCAGCGTAGTTTCCCTTGCGAAGCAAACGATGAATACGACCAACGGGAAAGTTCAATCCAGCCTTGGAGGATCTCGATTTACCTTTTTTGGAGGTCTTCTTGTCCTTCTTCTGATCCGACATTTCAAACCAATTGAGATAGAAATGAAACCGACCAAATACAATAAACCGACCTGATACAATGACACAAGACTGGTAATAGTTTGTTATTTAAAGGTTTAATGGCAGGGCCAAATAGAATTTCGTCCACTGTTGATGTCTTCGCTCTCTTGCTTTTGCCATCTGCCGTCTGCAAGGTCTTTCACAATGACGTAGTCAGTTCTGCTTTTTAGTCAATTATTTAATTGTTCTGATGTATGCTGCTTTTGATTGCTAAATTTTTTTTTTGATTGCTTTTAATAGCTTAATTGAATTTCAGTACAGTTTGTTCCATTACTTAGTCGGGACCATTTCCGTTCTGTGTGATCGAATAATGCAAAGCTTGATTTAAGTGCCAATGATCTTAGTGGTTTCATTCCTGAAACTTAACTACTGTAAATAATGTCGGTAATAGT